ATAGGCCTAATTCAGGAAGCAAGAAAAATTTCAAACATAGAACCTAATCTTTCTCTCAAAGGAACTAGAAAAAGTACAAAAAGCAAAGTTTAAAGCCAGAAGAAGGAAGTAAATAATAAAGATTAGAGCAGAAACAAATGATATAGAAACTAAAAGAACAACAGAACAGATCAATGAAACCAAGAGGTGATTATTTGAAAAATTAATAAAATTGATAAACCTCCAGCCAGACTTATCAAAGAGAAAAGGGAAAAGATCATAATAAATAAAGTCACAAATGAGAGAGGAGAAAGACCAACCAACACCACAGAAATACAATTATAAGACAGAATATCATGAAAAACCATATGCCAACAATTTAGACAACATGGAAAAAATGGACAAATTCCTAGAAAAATATAAACTACCAAAACTAAAACAGGAAGAAATAGAAAGCTTGAACAGAATGATAACCAGCAAAGAAATTGAATCAGTAATCACAAAACTCCCTACAAACCAAAAGCCAAGACCAGATTGTTTCACAAAGTCTACCTAACATTCAAAGAAGAGTTAATACCTATTTTTCTCAAACTATTCAAGAAAATAGAAAAGTAAGGAAAAATTCCAAATTTATTCGATGAGGCCAGCATTACCCTCACACCAAAACCAGATGGAGACACTACTGAAAAGGAGAACTACAGGCCAATATCCCTGATGAACATGGACGCAAAAACTCTCAATAAAATACTATCAAAGCCAACCCAACAATACATTGAAAAATCATTCACCATGATCCAGTGGAATTTATTCCTAGGATGCAAGAGTGGCTCAATGTTTGCAAATCAACGTGATACGCCACATTAATAAAAGAAAGGAGAAGAGACGTATGATTATTTCCATGGATGTATTAAAAGCATTTGACAAAGTACAACATCCATTCATGAGAAAAACCCTCAACAAGGTAGGTTTAGAGGGAACACGCCTCACCATACTAATGGCCATTTATGAAAAACCCACAGCTCACATCATACTCAATGGAGAAACAACTGAGAGCTTTCGCTTCACAGTCAGGAAGAAGACAGGGATGTCCACTCCTACTACTGTTATATGACACAGTATTGAAAATTCTAGGCACAGCAATCAGAAAACAAAAAGAAATAAAAGGCATCCAAATAAGCAAGGAAGAAGTCAAATTGTCACTCTCTGCAGACGACATGATACCTTATATAGAAAACATGAAAGTTTCTATCAAAAACTGTTAGAACTCATACATGAATTCAGTAAAATACCAGGATACAAAATCAACATACAGAAATCCGCCGCATTTCTATATACCAATAATGAAGCAGCAGAAAGAAAAATCATGGAATTGATCCCATTTACAATTGCATAAAAACAATAAGACACCTAGGAACAAACCTAACCAAAGAGGTGAAAGGCCTATACCCTGATAACTAGAAAATGGTGATGAAAGAAGTTGAAGATGACACAAAAAAATGGAAAAAGATCCCATGCTCATGGATAGGAAGAACAAAAATTGTTAAAATGTCTATACTACTTAAAACAATCTACACATTTAATGCAATCCCTATCAAAATACCACCAGCACTTTTCTCAGAGCTAGAACAAACAATCAAAATAGTGGATAGTCCAAACAAAGGAGTCCAAATAGTGATAGCAAATAGTGAAAAACAAAACTGGAGGCATAAGAAATTTCAAGTTATATTACAATCCTGTACTAATCAAAACAGTATTCTACTAGCACAAAAATAGATCCATAGATCAACAGAACAGAATAAAATACCCAGAAATAAACCTACAACATTATGGTCAGCTAATCTTCAGGAAAGAATATCCAATGGAAAAAAGACAGTCTCTAAAGCAAAGGGTGTTGGAAAACTGGACAGCAACATGAGAAAGAATGAAACTGGACTACTTTGTCATACCATACACAAAAATAAATTCAAAATGGATTAAAGACCTAAATGTGAGACAGGGAACCATAAAAATCCTAGAGGAGAACAAGGACGGGCTGTAACTTCTTTGCTATCAGCCATATCAACTTCTTTCTAGATACACCTCGCAGGGCAAGGGAAACAAAAGCAAAAATAAACTATTAAGATTTCATTAAAATTAAAAGCTTCTGTATAGCAAGGAAAACATAAACTACAAGGACCCAAAACTAAAAGGCAACCTACAGAATGGGGGAAGATACTTGTGATGACATATTTAATAAAGGGTTAGTATACAAGATATATAACTAATATATATATAAATATATATAATAATAAATATTATTATAAATTTTATTTATAAATAAATTTATAAATAAATATATAATAAATATATATAAATATATATATACATAATACCCAAAAAATGAAAAATACAATTAAAAATTGGACAGAATACATGAATAGACATTTTTCAAAAAAAATACAGATAACCAACAGACACATGAAAGACACTCAACATCACTGGTCATCAGGGAAATGAAAATCAAAACTACATGGGATATCACCTCACACCTGTCAAAATGGCTAAAATCAACAACACAAGAAAGAAGTTTTGGTGAAGATATGGAGAAAGGGGAACTCTCTTGCATTCTTGATGTGAATGCCAACTGGTGCAGCCACTCTGGAAAACCGTATGGAGTTTCCTCAAAAAGTTAAAAATAGAACTACTCTATGATAAGCAACTATACTCCTAGGTATTTAACCCAAAGGATATAAAAATACAGATTTGAAGGGACACATGCACCTTTGTGTTTATAAAAGTATTATCAACAATAGCCAAATTATGGAAAGATCCCAAGTGCCCATCAACTGATGAAAGGATAAAAAAGATGTGGTATGTGTACAAACACATACATATACATACACACATACCATGGAATATTATTCAGCCATAAAATAATGAAATCTTGCCATTTGCAATGATATGAATGGAGCTAGAGGGTATTATGCAAAGGAAAATAAGTCCATCAGAAAATGACAAATACCCTATAATTTCACTCATATGTGGAATTTAAGAAACAAACAAGCAAGCAAAGGGGGAAAAAGAGAGAGTGAGGCAAACCAAGAAATAGACTTTTAACTATAGAGAACAAACTGATGGTTACCCATTGGGCAGGGGAATTGGTCACCTATTTTAAATAGGTGATGGAGATTAAGGAGCGCACTTGTTGTGATGAGCACCTGGTATTAAATGGAAGTGTTGAATCACTATATTGTACACCTAAAACTAATATTATACTGTATGCTAACTAACTGGAATTTAAACAAAAACTTAAAAATGTATACCTTAAATTTATACAGTGTTGTATGTAAAATATATCTCAATAAAAATATTTGTCAAAAAATGGTAACTATGTGAGATAATAGAAGTGTTAATTAGCTTGACTGTCATAATCATTTCACAAATGGTCACATTGTACACCTTAAATATATACAATTTTTATCTGTCAATTATACCTCAGTAATGCTGGGGAAAAAATTTAAGTATCTATGTCAGAAACTTAGGTCTCAAATAATTAATTGGGCTATTAAAATAAATGTTGCAAGTGAAATGAGTCTGTGTTTCATTATATCATTAATTTAGTAATATCAACCATGAAGTTAACTTAATCTAAAAAGAGCAAAAGCTCTTATCACTTCAGGAATTACTGCATATATAACCATGAATAAAGAACAAAGAACAACCATGTTGAAATCCTTGCTTCCAAAACAGAATTTGAATAAAACATGAGTTTTAACAAAATCACAAAGTTTCTCCACGTCATAGATATTTAGAAATTATTAAACAGTGAGTTTCAAAACCATAAATCTTACTATACTTCCATTATTGTACCTGTGTCATTGAACACCTATTCCTCTGATGAGAACATGAGCTTCATGGGGACAGGCTTCCTGTTTCAGTGTTCTTTTTATACCACAGGTGACCTAACACAAAGCAACTATTCCAAAAACATTTGTTGAATTAAATTGCCTCCTAATTGGTCTGCTTCCAGGCCATTCTCCTCTCCCAAATCCTGCCAGTTCTTTTACAAAGACATCTCTGATAATGTCATTCCATTGTTCTAAAACCTTTAGTGGCTGTTCACAGTAATTTGCTTTACAGGATTATGTTCACACACCCTGATAGGGGATATGAGGACCTTCACACTGTTCCCTCAGCCTATATTCCCAGTCTCAGTCCCTGCCTCTCCTCTCCACATATACTTTCAAGCCATATTAGTTGTTCCTTGAACACTTTTTGACTTTTATTATTCTATGCCTTTGCCAATGCTGTTTCCTCTGTCTGAAAGATCCTTCCCCTCTCATCTGCCTAGCAAACATTTATTAAAGGTCAGTTTAAATATTACTGCCTTTGTTTCTTTCCCTGACCCCTCACAGAATTAACGTCTCCTTCGTGTTTTTCTGTACCAATATGTTCATTTATTGAGAAAATGGAAGAGGCTAAACTCAGGGGTAAGGGAAGAGAAAGAAGGAGGGAGCGTCCTATGAACGGACTTACCTAAGCAGTGATTGCGGCACTACGCCTTAAGCACATTGTTCAAGCAGCAGTGGGAGGATGGGGTTGGACAACCTTTAAGTCTTAAGATGCTATGGCTGGTATCTTTCGCACTGCGTGTATGTGTGTGCTCCCGTGTATGTGTTTGAGGGGGAAACAAACAGAGACAGAAAAACATAAAGATCAGAAAGGAGATGAGGGGGGAACGCAGTGCAGTATGAGCAGATGGGTGGACCCAAATTTCTTCCGCTTTACTGTTTTGCAGAAGTCCAGGTCTGCATCTATAGCTGTAGCAAGGGGGTGGAAGAGGAGGAAAGGGGAGTGACTGCATTCCCTCTGAGCTTGCCCAGCCTCGACTGCTCGACTGCCGGGCGGATCACCTTCCGCTCCAACAGTCAGTTGCTCCTTGCCATGACTCACCCCTATTGTGCCAGGCAGGGCGCACTCTGCCCTGCAGCCTTACAGGTGGTATCGGCTCGATGAGAAGATTCCCGCCAGGCTAGGCAGTGGAGCGCTGCACAGCGCGCCTTCCTGCCTCCTAGCTGCCTGCCCAGCAGTTCCGACCCAGCGCCAACAGGCCTGCTCGGTCGATCTTCGATCCAAAGATGCGGCGAGGCTGGAAGATGGCTCTGTCCGGGGGACTGCGGTGCTGCCGCCGAGTACTTTCCTGGGTGCCAGTGCTTGTTATCGTCCTTGTTGTGCTTTGGTCCTACTATGCCTATGTCTTTGAACTCTGCCTGGGTAAGTGGAACTGGGCACCTAAGGTGGGGAAATTATACTCCAGCATAATTGTCTGTCGTACCCTTCACACTGGCGTCCCCCTCCCCCGTGTTCTTAGCCCTCACACTGCGAGGTTTTGGGTTTTTTTGTTTTTTGGGGGGTTTTTTAGGGGAGGAGGGTTGGTGTTTGTTTTTAGCTCTCTGGAGACCTCCTCGTCTCCAAACTCTAGCTTCCCACAATATTTCTTGCACCTTACCACGAGGAAGGTCCTACCATGTCGCCATCACTTCCCACCTAGGGTTTCTTACCTTATTTCCTAGCCTTACGCACAAGAATGTCCTGGATCTTTCCACTAGAGCCTCCTTTTCTCATACAGGACAACTACTTGTGCCTAGTATTCTCATTCTGGGGGCTTCCACCCTACAGAATTGAGGAAAGAACACACCCTGTCTCAGTAAACTGCTTACACTATGAATCCTACCAATACATATAACTAGGAGCCCCACATTTTCACATTTCCTTCTATTAGTAATCCAAAAATATTTCCTGTACTCTCTTACTAACTCTCTTTTTTCCAACATGGGAATTCATCCTTTTTTCTGTGATCCTCTCACACTGGCTTCTGTGATGTACTGTGATGTAAACTACTCCTCTTCTCAAAGGAGATTCACTAATAGATATTGTCACTTCAGTACGAAACATCCCACTTCTAGGACCCTTAAACTAATGTCCTGAATGATCCCTAATCATTCAGTATGAGGATCCAACATATTTCCAGTCCCCTTATACTAGGACTCTGATTTGTCCCATTGGTCATCCACTCACTGCCAAGTCCTTTCAAGATTCCTATATTTATACCAGATTCTTAAGGTTGGAGTGCTGATCTGTCCAACCCCAGGGCCTGACTCTACTTACAACTTCTTCCTTACATATCTGACAAAGCAACAGTGTACTCCAAGTAGATGCGGATTAAGTAGGGAGCCAAGAGACAATTCTGTTTTCCAATATAGAACTTTCTTCTAATTAACTGTGCATGAGAGTTTGAATTTTCCACTTCTTCTTAGATTTACTATGGGAAATGTAGAGAGATGTTAAAACTAAATTCAATTTTTTGCCCTTATAGATGCAAGTTTAGGCTGTTTCTAATTTTATCTCAGCCTTTATTTCAACCTTTATCTCAACAATAAATCTGAGCTTTATGAAGAAGTATTAAGTGGGCTCTGCAATTATTGGGAAGTTTTTCTATTCTCAGACTATTTACCATTTTGCTTTTTTGAATGATTGATTGAAGGGCTAAAAGTTCAGCTCCACAGGCACCTGGGTGGCTCAGTCACTTGAGCCTCTGACACTTCATTTTGGCTCAGGTCATGATCTCACAGTTCATGAAATTGAGCCCCACATTGGGCTCTGTGCTGACAGTGCGGAGCCTGCTTGGGATTTTCTCTCTCCCTCTCTGCCCTTCCCCTGCTCACACACTCATGTTCTCTCTCTCTCATAATAAATATAAAAACTCAAAAAAAAAAAGTTCAGCTCTCCATTATTATACTATGGACTTTGCTCCTAGGATCAATACTGTCTTGTAAACATTGTTAAACATATTTTAGAATTTTGCAGTACTGACTTAAATGAGCTTTGCCAAGCAATCATTTTAGAAATTAATAATGATAATGGTTATCACTTGCATAGTGCTTTACCTGTTCTAAGCAATGTTCTGAGTACTGTAGATATATTAAATCTCTATATTAAATCACTTAATCCTCACAATAACCATACAAAGGAGGTACCCTTATAGTCCCCATTTTACAGATGTGCAAACTGAGGCAAAGACCAAGTTATAATTAGTGAAAATAGTCAAAGGAAGCTTAGAGTTTGCTTACTTTGATTAATTTAGCTTATTTGCAGAGCACTTGTTATATACACTGTTTTAAAAGACACACACATACACACAAACTTAATCCTCATAAAAAACCTTATAAGGTGCACACTCATTGAGCCCATTTTAAAGACAAGAAAACTTTCTGTCTTCTCTCAGCTAATACAGAGGTCAAAACTTGTGACTAACAGGCAAAATTCAGCCTGCAGATGTATTTTATTTGGCCTGCACAGTGTTTTCTTAACATTTTGTGTGAGTTACCATTATTTAAAAACCAGGAGAGTAAGGTAGCCTTGACTTCCAATTCTGGCTACACTTTGATTCTAATTTCATTTTACAATCTTCTGAAAACTTTGTTTCAGAGAGGGTAAATCTAATCTTCCCAAAGTCACATGATTGGTAATAATGGAAAATTGGATGTCAATGCTGCCTGCCTGGAACCAAAGCAACACAATGTAATTAACAGATTCGAATTTCAGTATGACTCAAAAAGTAATACTAAGGGCCTAACTTCTTTCTAGAAATAGAACCTAATGTCTTTATCATAATTTCAGGTTAGAACAGAATCCAAGAGTGGTATTTTGTCTTATAATCTTGTCTAAAAGGCTTGAATTCTGCCACTTACTAACTAGGAGTCCTGGGGAAAGTTACCTAACCTTTCTCAACCACAGTTGCCTCACATGGCACCTTGCTTATATAGTTGTTCATTCATACCACAGATACTTGCTTAGCCCCTACTATATGCCATTTTTTAATTGTTTCTGTGAGATTTAAATAATATGACATATCCTGTATGTCTTCCTTTAAAAAATTTTATTCATGCCTTCTGCTCATTTTTTAACTGGATTATCGGTTTTTTGGGTGCTGAGCTTTATAAGTTCTTTATGTATTTTCAGTACTAACCCTTTATCAGATATGTCATTTGCAAATATCTAATTCTGAAGGTTGCCTTTTAGTTTTGTTTATTCCTTTCTTTGCTGTGCAGAACCTATTTATCTTGATGAAGTCCCAATAGTTTATTTGTGCTTTTGTTTTCCTTGCCTCAGGAGATATATCTAGTAAGAATTTGCTATGGCTGATGTCAAAGAGGTTGCTGACTATATCCTCCTCTAGGATTTTGATGATTTCCTGTCTCACATGTAGGCTCTCATCCATTTTGAGTTCATTTTGTGTATGCCATAAGAAAGTGGTCCAGTTTTATTCTTTTACATGTTGCCATTCAGTTTTCCCAGCACCCTTTGTTAAGGAGACTTTTTTCCATTGGATATTCTTTCCTGCTTTGTTGAAGATGAGTTGACCATATAATTGTGGATCCATTTCTGGGTTTTCTATTCTGTTCCATTGATCTATGTGTCTATTTTTATGCCAGTACCATACTGTCTTGATCACTACAGCTTTGTAATATAACTTGAAGCCTGGAATTGTGATGCTTCCTGTTTTTCTTTTCTTTTTCAACATTGCTTTGGCTATTGGGGTCCTTTGTGGTTCCATACAAATTTTAGGATTGTTTGTTCTAGCTCTGTGAAAAATGCTACCAAGCACATGAAAAGATGCTCAACATAATTCATCATTAGGGAAATATGAAGCAAAACTACAATAAGATATCACCTCACACTTGCCAGAATGGCTAAAATTAAGCAACACGGGGAAACCACAAGTTGTGGCAAGGATGCTGAGAAAGGGGAACTCTCTTACACTGTTGATGGGAATGCCAACTGGTGCAGCTACTGTGGAAAACAGTATGGAACTTCCTCAAAAAGTTAAAAATAGAACTAGCCTATGATCTAGCAATTGCACTGCTAGGTATTTACACAAAGGATACAAAAATACTGTTTCAAAGGGACACACGAACCCCGATGTTTATAGCAACATTATCAACAATAGTCAAATTATGAAAAGAGCCCAAATATCCATCAACTGATGAATGAATAAATAAGAGGTGGTGTGTGTGTATATATATATATATACACACATATATATATGTATTCAATGGAATATTACTTAACCATCAAAATAATGAAATCATGCCATTTGCAAGGAAATGGATGGAGCTAGAGAGTATTATGCTAAGTGAAATACATCAGAGAAAGACAAATACCATATGATATCACTCATATGTGGAATTTAAGAAACAAAACAAATGAACATGCGGGAAAAGGAGATAGGCAAACCAAGAAATAGACTTCTAACAATAGAGAATAAACTGAGGGTTGCTGGAGAAGAGATGGGTAGGGGGAAGGGTTAAATTAGTGACGAGTGCTAAGGAGGGCACTTGTGTTGCACACTGGATATTGTATGTAAGTGATAAATCACTATATTTTACAAACATATTACATTGTATGTTAGCTAACTGGAATTTAAATAAAAACTTGAAAAAATAATATGCATAAAAAGCATGTATTGCAGTTGATAGGACATTATAATAGTTAATTAAATAGTAATCTGTTCTCACTATTATGAAAGAGGATATAAGGGATTCTGCATGGCTCAGGAAAATAAGAATCTTAATATTTTAGACAGGGAGAAAAGTAACAGTATCCATTTTCTGGTAAAATTCAGATAATGTAAAAGTAACCATTTTAAAGTATATATTTAGTACAAAAACAATGTTGGACAACCATCATTAATATCTAGTTCCAAAACATTTTCATCACCACAAAAGGATACTTCATTGGCATTAAACAGTCACTCCGTTTTCCCTCCTCCCCTTTGTCCCTACCAACCAGTAATTTGGGTTCTGTCTGTATGGATTTACCTATTCTGAATGTTTCACATATATGGCATCATACAATATGGGGCCTTTTTAAAAATATTATTTATTGTCAAATTGGTTTCCATACAACACCCAGTGCTCATCCCAACAAGTGCCCTCCTCAATGCCCATCATCCACTTCCCCTCTCCCCTATCCCCCACCAACCCTTAGTTTGTTCTCTGTTTAAAAGTCTCTTATGGTTTGCCCCCCCATTTGTAACTTGCTTTTTCCCCTTCCCTTCCCCCATGGTCTTCTCATAGTTTCTTAAGATCCACATATGAGTGAAATCATACAGAATCTATTTCCTCGGACTAATTTATTTCACTTAGCATAATACCCTCGAGTTCCATCCATGTTGCTACAAATGGCCAGATTTCATTCTTTCTCATTGCCAA